GTCCGGTTTGGTTTTAAACTGCAATTAAAATTCTCAAACCTAAATCAAATCATTTTGACCGGTTTGGTTTGGTTCAAAATCATTTCGTTGACGCGTCCATGTGTCACCAAACCGACGGTTTCTAAAATGTGATTTCGGTTTGGTTTTTCGATTTGGCGGTTTTTGCTTATAGTCCTACCTAATATTTCATTTTCCTCTTGGTTAATTTATAAATTTGTTATTTTACGTGAAGTTTTGGTGATGAAGCTTGGCTTTGCTTTCTTTCTTTCTTCGTACTTTATGTTTTGTCTTTTGGTTAGAATGACATTCAAGCTGAAAGCATTCATAAAATTAATTGGGTAGAAAAACTTAGGTGAAGTTGAAACTTATAATATCTCAAGCTATATTCACTCATTCGATCTGTCTTGTTCCTTTAGCAACTAGACAAAGACATATGGTGAAGTTGCATTTCTTCTGTATCCCAAGCCCTATATAGCATTAGCTTTATATATCGGAGCTATGTAAATTCCTTCTACATATGAAGGAGTTGTTCATTCGATATCATATTGTCTTCGGTGGGCCTTCATAATATATGAGCTGCTGGACCCTGGAGGGTAGAAAACTTCCAAGGCTTCAACAGTGTCGGTATACATGTGCTTGCCTTCTTGATGAACACTTTTTGGTTCATTTGATATTAATTCTTGGCCAGTCCAAGGTCATGTCACCAATCTTGTGCCTCATGGTAGCACACTGTGCCTTTCATTTAGTAGACATCTTGCTTCAAGTTTCAACCATAATATTCCCAATGTGATCAGTGTTATGATATTTTGGTTCTGTCATAAAACTTTCATCAATTTTAGTTGCTTGAGATGGGGTGTACGTTCTTTAGATCTTATCTTCCCCCCTGTTTTCTACTTTATAAACACATTGGAACTGACAAATCTTAATATTTTACTATGCTTATGGTTTCTTTAGGACTTTATGTTCCATATAGCTGCATTCACTTATCTTTTTTTATGGTATTTTTAAATAGTTAATCAATTTTTCTTTTGGTTCCTTTCATTAACCAATTAAATATTTATAGTTTTGTTCAGGATTTCTATGCCATGGAAGACAACCAAGCCGCAGCCGTGATCATGGACTCCACAGCCTCAAAGATACAGCAACTCCAGAAAGCATTTGCTGAACTTGAAAGACACCGTGCTGTAACTCTCCACTTGAAATGGAAACAACTTGAGGAGCATTTTCATGGGCTTCAGAAATCTTTGAAAAGGCGGTTCACTGAATTAGAAGAACAAGAAAAAGAGTTTGAAACCAAAATAGTTGAATCCAAAGAGATTTTGGAGATGCGTAAAGCATCTGTCGTGGCTAAAGAGCAAGCTTCACTTGAAAGGCTTCAAGAGAAGAGAGACGCTGCAGTTTCTGCCATTATGACTGCTCTGGAGAAGAATGGGAATTCGTGTGCTATGGCCTCTGGTGTAGTTAACAGCGAGAACTCAGTTGAGGCACCAGTTATTGAGGCAAAACCACCTGATGCCATCCTTGCTGAGAGTAACATGGATTTTATGAGAAGGCCTTTTGAAAATGGAAATGTGGAGGTGAAGACTTATCCAGAGCTCATTAAATTATGTCAAGAGATGGATTCAGAAGGCCTCCACAAATTCATTTCAGACAACCGTAAGAACCTTGCTATTTTAAGAGAGGAAATCCCTACTGCATTAAGGGCTGCAGCTGATCCCGCGTCTCTTGTTTTGGACTCTCTGAAGGGTTTCTACTGCTTGGAAATGCCACATTCTGATCCCAGAAAGGATTCAAATCTCTTAGGTCTTCGCCGAACCTGTATCATGCTGTTGGAGTGCCTTAGCAGTTTATTAACAAATCTGGACCAAGACTCTCTTTCCAGTATTATCTATGAAAATATTAAGGAACAGGCAAAAGCTATTGCTGAAGAGTGGAAACCGAAACTAGATGATCTGGATGTTGATGCCAACAATGGAAATTCCCTTGAGGCTCATGCATTCCTACAACTTCTTGCTACTTTTGGTATTAATTCTGATTTTGATCAGGAAAGCTTGTCCAAATTGATTCCCATGGTTTCACGCCGTCGACAAACAGCTGAATTATGCCGTGGCCTTGGGTTGACTGACAAAATGCCAGGTTGGTAACTCTATAATTACCAGGTCAACTGCCACGTTTTAAATGCCTTTCTCCCCTGGTAAGAAGTTACAAGACAGACCATATTCTTATAGTAAATGGAACTACAATATGAGCTTCGGTATTGAATTTGTTAAATGACATCTTATTATCCATGTACTTAGTAAAGTTAAATTCCCAGAATGTTGTGCCGAATGTGAATCCTTTTTGCTATAAGGCGATGCAAGGAGAAAGTATTTATGAACCTAATGGGGTTTCAGTTTGATTCTGTTAATTGCTAGGGAGGGTCTGATATATCGTTTCTTCTTAATCTCTGGATCTACTGGCATTATATTATATTCTAGAGAATTTGGGTTTTTACAGTAGGTGAAGATTTTTATGTGCTCTACCTTGTACTGCTTGTCTTTCAGGTGTGATTGATGTCCTGGTGAAGAATGGAAGGCACATTGATGCTGTCAATCTTGCTTTTGCATTTGAACTTACACACCAGTTTTCACCTGTTTCATTGCTGAAATCCTACTTGTCTGAGGCTAAAAAAGCGGCATCACCATCCAAACCTGGAAATGTGTCACCTGCTGCTTCTGCT